ATTTGTGGTAAAACCAGTGGAGTGCTGATTGTTTCACAAGTGGATTCTGATTGGAAGAGGCACTACCATGGAGAATGCACTAGTTAATCATCATTAACAGTTAACTGTCAAGCTTTGTTTAAACTTTAGATCAGGCAATTTGACTTTAATTGGTCAAGGAATTGTTTTAAAATATAGAACAGCAAAAGGCTTTGAGCTTTTTTGTAGAGTTGAATCAGGCACAGCATGTGTACAAATACACTTCATCTACAAAGAATATGACGTGCCACACTGAGCCCAACTGACAATCCCAAAATGATTTGTCAGCATATTTCTTTGAACACTTAGGATTGTTCAACAAATGTTGTCCAATTACAGAATCATTCTAATGTTGGACACTGCAGAGTTTTGCAGGTGCAGGCTGCTTGAGCACAGTCAGCATTTTGCTTTTGCAAACAAAATGATATGCTGTTCAATATATTCTGCCAGGCTTTGTAACATACAACCTATATACTTGGAAACACACCAGCAAAGAAATTCATATACCAGGTTATGCTGACAACCAATTTATAGAAACATGAAAATATCATAATAAAAATGACTAGCTTAGGGAAATGTAACTACCCATTTCTACGCCACTTTATAATTAAAAGTCCGACTCAAATTGAATCAGATTGTATTGCACTTTATTTCTCCAGCATCATAGAACCAAGCGTCTGCCCCAAGTCTTTAAAAGAGCGGGTGGGAGCGTAATTAGACAGGAGGCAATAATTTGGTTTTCCAGGGCAGGTTGAAGTTTTGCTATTAAGTTCTTGGAACCTTTCAGATAGATCAGCACTTTTTATAGTGAGCATCCTATTTTGCATAAATTATCATGCAATGTATATTAAATACCCCAACCTGTGGAATTACGTTAATGGGTACAATTCTGTAAGGTCAAATTGGGAAACATGTATTCACAAACCTGACTACATATACAAGGCATGTACTTGGAAAGGTTCACTTCTTCCTCCAAGCTGCTGACAATTCAAGCTTCTTGAGTAACATGGATATTTCATCACCTAGTCATTTCTTCGCACAAACAATTACAGTGTAGGAGATAACATCTGTCTGGGCCAATCAGCTCATTAGATATTTAATCTTGCTTGTTGTTGTTAAATGCTTACTGTATCGAGGGTGAAGCCTGACCAGGTAAACCAGCCCATGACAGGTTGCCACACTGGCTGACACCAGCAAATCAGACCGTTGAGTCAAAGAATTGTAGAGCACAGAAACAGACTCTTTGATCCAACTTGTCCATGACGACCAGATGTCCTCAATAAATCTTGTCCCATTGCCAACATTTGGCCCATATACCTCTAAACCCTTCCTATTTGTATACCCATCCAGATGCCTTTTAAATATTGTAATTGTACCAGCCTCCACCACTTCCACTGGCAGCTCATTCTGTACACACACCACGTTCTGTAGGAAAAAGTTGCTCTTTAGGTTGCTTTTAAATCTTTCCCCTCTCACCTTCAACCTATGCCCTCTAGTTCTGGACTCCCCTACCTGGGGATAAAGACCTTGGTAAATCACCCTATTCATGTCCCTAATAATTTTATAAACCTCTATAAGATCACCCTTCAGCCTCTGACACTTCAGGGAAAATAGCCCCAGCCTATTCAGCTTCTCCCTATAGCTCAAACCCTCCAACCCTGACAACATCTTTGTAAATTTTTCTGAACACTTTCAAGTTTCACAACATCCTTCTTATAGCAGGGAGGTCAGAATTGCATGCAGTATTCCAACAGTGGCCTAACCAATGTCCTGTACAGCTGCAACATGACCTACCAACTCCTATACTCAATGCACTGACCAATAAAGGCAAGCATACCAAACACCTTCTTCACTATCCTGTCTGCCTGGGACTCCACTTTCAAGGATCTATGAACCTGCACTCCAAGGTCTCTTTGTTCAGCAACACTCCCCAGGACCTTACCATCAATGTATAAGTCCTGCCCTGATTTGCCTTTTCAAAATGCAGCACCTCACATTTATCTAAATTAAACTCCATCTGCCACTAGTCGCCCCACTGGCCCATCTGATCAAGATCCCATTGTACTCTGAGGCAACTTTCTTCTCTGCCCACTACACCTCCAATTTTAGTGTCACCTGCAAACTTACTAACCATACCTTGTATGTTCACATCCAAATCATTTGTATAAATGACAAAAAGCAGCGGACCCAACACCGATTCTTCAGGCACACTGCTGGTCACAGGCCTCCAGTCTAAAAAGCAACCCTCCACCATGTCCCTCTGCCATCATCAATCCTCTTTGTTACTTCTTCAAAAATCTCAATCAAGTTAGTGAAACACAATTACCCATGCAGAAAGCCATGTTGACTGTCCCTAATCAGTCCTTGCCGTTCCAAATACATGTAAATCCTGTCCCTCAGGATTCCCTCCAACAACTTTCCCACCACTGATTTCATTCCCCAGCTTTTCCTTGCCACCTTTCTTAAATAGTGGCACCATGTCAGCCAACCTCCAGTATTGCAGCACCTCACCTATGGCAATCGATGATACAAATCAGACAAACAGGGTTTTACTCAAAAGGGGCATCAACTCAAAAGGTTCGGAAAAATGTTGGTTAGGTAGAAACAATTGGTATGGAATGGAAGTGAATGGCTGTGGCTGTCACAAGGTACTGGAGGGATCCAGGAAAATGAAGGGAGGAAACTGGGATGTAGAGGGGAGAGTCATGTGATCAGGACAAGCATGCAAAAGGGAGGGTGGGTCCAGAATATTTAGAGTTCGGAACACAATGGCACAATTAGGGCAGTGGAGAGGCAGAATGAGCAAGTAAATTGAATAAAAGATAGTGAGAGGCTAAGGCTGGGTATGGGGATCTGGAATGGCTGTGGAATCAGGGAGAAGAGCATAAACATTAAGGTAGATGGTGAAAGCTCTGGTAATCACAGAAGGATATTGAAGAAGGATGGAATGAATGCTAGAAGAAAGAAGTGATGGGGGTTCAAAGTGTGCTTTAGAAAAGAAGTGTAGAGTATGAACTAACCAAATATAAATTTAAAAAGCACTACCTTTCTGAAAAATCAACTCATATAAAACTGCCAATGCACATGGGCCCTGTTTGCACATGTTCCTGCACAAACAGGAATTGACAGAAATTGAAAAATACCATGAGCTGAATGGAAGCACTCACTACAGAATAAAGATGAATTAGAACAACCAACTCCCAACAATAACAGCTCAACCATATCTCATGAATCATTTAACTCTGAGAAGAATGGCACTTTAAAATCACCAATAGTGATTTTAATCGTGGGTGGATGAGGACCAGGGGTAAAGAGATATTTTGCGTGCTGCTACACAAGAATATTCACAAGCCTATGTATCCGAATGTTAAAGACATGGTGATAAAACTGTTATGTAAGCTATAGATTCCAAAGCTGTAGGACTATACCTCGGAACAATTGTCTGATTGAGCTGATTGCTTTCCATGCACATGGAAATGTAAAAATCACATTGGATTGACAAGAATCAGAGAGCAGCCCACAATTATCATAAGTTAGATTGCCGTGCCATGAAATTTTACTCACGAAATTACAGTTTTAATACTGAAAAATACACCTCCTTTGCTCTGGGGAAGGGTCACTGGGTCAACCCGAAATGTTATCTCTGATTTCTCTCCACAGATGCTGCCAGACCTGCTGAGCCTTTCCAGCAATTTCTATTTTTGTTTCTGATTTACAGCATCTGCAGGTTGTTCAATTTTGATTTTTACCTTCTTTGCATATTATTCATTTAGAATAGTGGTCAATCTTCAGAGTTTAATGCATTTGTTGTAATTGATCAGAATTGTCCAAAACGTCAATTTTCCCGCTCCTCTGAGGCTGCCTGGCCTGCTGTATTCCTCCAGCTCCACACTGTGTTATGTCTAAAGAGGTATGTTATTCCTATACATTATAAATAAACTGTCAGTCATGAATCTATCAACAACAGAGACTGATGACCTCCACCAGCATATTGGCTCCAAGGAAAAAGAAAGTAAGCAAAATTTGGTTTTGGCCTATTAGTGATTTGGAAAAAGATGAGAGTTTCTTATTCATCGATCCATTCATTGATCAATCATCTACTTCAGGAAATTGTAATTGTACATTTGTGACAAGAACGAGGGGATTTGATGGACTAAAGGATATTTGCTCACAATTCCTTGTGTTTTGCAAAATATTCCATAAACTTCAGTCCATGTAAAACCGAAATAAACAAATACCAAAGAATGACTCAAAGGTCATGTGACATTCTTTGGCTTTCACTCAAGATTCAAGAAACCCTACTGACAAAATTATATGTTAAACTTTTGAATGAAATCTTGCATTAAATAGATGTAAACAGAGATCAGATATCTCAGATCTCACCATTTTAGGACTGCATCAATCCAACGGCACAATGACTATCCATTTCCTATACTTACCCAAATCAACACAAACATAATGTCTTCCCACCACACAAATTGCATAGAATTTCCATATGCACACTTGCATATTATACATGGAAAGATGTAACAGATTTCATATCGATCTTTGTAGTTTACTCAATGCTAACACAGAGACCAATATGATCAAACAGAATGCTGCCATCAACTGCAAGGGTGACGCCATACTATTAATAGAATTTTAACTTAGTTATTAAACATAGAGGAGCAGATTTGGTTTACATAGGAGGTATAGCTGTGTGACACATTCTTCAGACAATTTCTTGGATCAGGTAATACCAAGTGTCATGCTCTGCATGGATATGTATTATTCTTCTTCATTGATATTATTGAAGGACTGTGCAGGTATCGATCTGTGACACAGCCTGCCTGCACGGAATAAACATGACTTGGTGAAATGAGAAGCATTGCAATACACAGTAATTTCTCCTCTGTATACTTATTTTTAAAAGAAACAATTAGAAGGGATAAAAACTGTTACTGTTTTGTCACAAAGCTAAATAGTTAGTATGATATAATTACCTAATGATGTTCTGGCTGGTACTGCATCCTTATTGATCCAAAATGATACCCAGGATAAAACAACAGTCAATGTGCAAGGGATATAGGTCTGAATAGTGAAGTAGCCCATTCGTCTGCTAAGATCGAAGTACACGGACATCACAACATAATCTCCTGCAAAAAGATAAAAATAGAAGACTAATCTTTCACTCATAATAAAGAAATATTGGCTCGGAGAATGAATGCTGCTAACCTCTCATTAGGCATACAGCTGTCAAATGAATTAAGTGTGGTAATTTAAAGTAATTAGAAAATCATTTCAGTGTCCTTTAAAGGAAATATTGGATTTGTGCAAGCAGGGCAAACAACTGCATTTCTCTTCCACCAATTAGTTTGAAGAATCCTTACTATGACATGCAGTTTAAGAGTTAGAATGTGTAATTCAACATAATTGTATGTAGAAAGTGAAATATCCACTTAAATCTGAAATCAAAAACACAAGCTTTTTTTTTCTGGTGTGATTATTGGGTATCTAATGGATACATACCACAATGTCATCTTCTCCCTGAATCTCTGGGCAAAGTATTAATGTAGCATGGCTTCCACAGGAGCAGGCAAATCAGTCAGGAACTTTTTGAACTTCACATTTTACACTAGGCATGTTTGAATGTTAGAACATGTTATCAAAGTTACTCCATAATAATTATAAATATCAATAGCATTGTTATTACCTTACTGCATAACATGGTATAATTTCAAATAATTATAATACTGTTACTACATTTACGATCGAGTTTTCCAACAGGAATATTTCTGTCTACAGAGATGGGAAAAAGTAATTTTGGGGTTTTAAAGAAGGATTTCAGGCTATATAAATAAATGGTATACCACAGAGAGGGGACATGCAAAATAGAAGCACAACTTTTGTTTCGTCTATTAGTGAAAACTTAATAAGTTTTTCTTAGATCCTTGCTAGATTTTCTTAGAGAAGCTTTGTCTCCAGTTATAGGGTCAGAAGGGCGTAACACTGAAGCCAGGCCCAGAAAGATATCATATGTTTATTTGCAACATCTGTATTTCATAAATTGTGTTCCAAATATTAGTCAAAAATATTCTATCCTTCCCGACTTACTTTGTGATCAAAGAATAAGCAAAATTAGTAATTAACTTAAACAAAAGCTATACATGGGATTCAAAAATGGTACTAAAAGAAGGGTCCAGACCCGAAATGTCAGCCTTCCTGCTCCTCTGATGCTGCTTGGCCTGCTGTGTTCATCCAGATCTACACCTTGTTATCTCAATGACCTGATGCAACACTTGTTTTCCCTTCACTTCATATGGAGCTGAAGTGGCAATAGAACATCCAAATAAAACACGACATAGGTCAACAAAATTGAGATTGTTCAGGTCTTTGTTATCAAGAAGTAGAAGTCTACTCAAACACAAAAGTGTTCAATACTAACTCACATCTCAGTCAGGAAGTTATCCAGAGATGTCAGCACAAATCTCAGCTGACACTTCAGGATTACTGCATTATCAGAGATGACATCTTTCAGATGAGATGTTAAAGCAAGGTAATAAATGTGTTGGAGAAATTCAGCAGGTCTAGCATTTGTGGAGAAAGAAACAAAATTAAAGTTTCAAACTGAAAGACTCTTCTTTGTTAAGATCCACAGGATGATTCTCTAGGGAGCTGTACAAGATTTCTGGAGAGGAAATGGGAAAGAAAATTAGCTGAAAAGAAACTGCAATTAAGAATAAACAGCATCAAATGCTGAGAATATGCAGCACTGAAATAGTGGACTCATGCATAAAATTAAAAATCCTACAACTTTGACACAAGAGATTAGAAGGTGCTTTCTTTTCTGGAGTGATTACATGGAATTTATTGTCTGTAAAACGAGTTAGTGCTATTTTGAGAAAAGAAAAGTCTTCGTAAGTAGTTATTTAAGAATCTGGATAGATATAGAAATAAGAAAAAATGCTTAAGTAACTCCTTGACAATAACGATCTTTGGCTTACATTAACAATATTAATATGCACTCAAAAACTAGAATGTGTTCAAGTTTCACCTCTTAGTAAATGAAAACAACAAAAAAGAGCATTCGGCACTTAAAGGGTTACCACTGAGGGTTTTCAAACTGGATCAATTCCTGAAAGAGCCTGTGTTGGAATTTCTATTCATGTATACCATTTTATTGAATCAAGATACTGTCCTCAAATTGCAATAAACTTAATGTTACTCTGTCGATGTGGAATTTAAAGTTAGACAAAACTGTCAGATTTATGGCAGTTATATTGGAGTAATTAATGGGTGCAATGTTCTCCTTTCTCCTAAGACGAGATTATTTTTTGTTCATGGGATGTGTGCTTCACTGGCTAGGCCTTTATTAATTTTCCAGCCTGAATTGACCAATGGGCTGTGAACAATCAAGCACTTTGCTATGTGTCTAGGGTCACATATAGGTCACACCAGGTAAGAGCTGCAGGTTACCTTCCCTCGAGGAAGGACTTTAGTGAATCAAATGAGTGTTTATAACAATTGACAGTCATTAGATGGTCACTATTGGGTACTTTTTCTATTCCTGGTATTTCTTAAATTCAAATCTCACCATCTTTCATGGTGGGATTCAAACACACAGCCAGGAGCATTAGTCTAGCATTCTGGTTTACTAGTCCAAAGATATTACTATGTTAACACTACCTTCCCATGTTGTAAATATCCTTCCAAGTTCTTGAATAAGGGTCACTTCCTTCAAACTTCAAATTTCAATGTAATATTTATTTTTAAATATATATCTCACTGGATATGCTTACATGAGATCACTAAGGAAGTCAACAATGACTTCCTATAGCAAATCTCTTCTTGTACTAATTTTACATGATGAAATGCTTGGAAACAAATCTGGATCATTAATTGATGGACATATATAAGATTAACTGATCTTTGCTCAGCAATTTGTCTAACATCTGTTATTCCACTGGGAACTTTAAGAAAATCCTTCAATAAATATGTTAGGTCATGCTTAAGAAGCCATAGATCTTCATCATTAAAAGATCAATAATTTGAGGCATTCATTCCAAAATATTTACAATGGCAGAAAAGTCAACTGTGTCAATATAATATTTTCGACCCAGATGTGCTGTGTAGGTGAATGCCTAAGCTGAGCTATAGTACGATTCAATTTTGACTCAGAGCTTTGGTATATCTTCTGAATTGTAGGCAAAGTATTTTAATGCATGAGATTCTTGGCACCATGACCCATGGCAACCTTTCTCATGCAGTTCTCTGACCGTCATCTCATTAATGCTGCAATTGATCACATGGCAGGAGAGGTGAAAGTTCTTAACACTGCTGGGATTTTACCATAATTTACCAATGTTACCATAATTGGCATCACATTTAAAGCCCAGTTCCACAACGCCTCAGTTGCTGCAAGCCAGGAACTGCCCTTCACACTGTGGTCCTGCACTGTCATCTCCAAGGATATGGAATAGAAAGGCAACTTAGCTGCTCAGTTTGATGTTCGATGGGCAAGGTGGTAGAAAGGACAGCAGTGCAAAGGAGGCAAGGGTATCAGATGCATCAGCATGGCCTGAAATAGCAGCCTGGGTCAGTGCAGCGTCTTGTGTGAAATACAGCATTGCAGGAAGAAGGTTAATGATCATCTGTGGTCCACATGGGGAAGTGCAACCATTTTATTTCTACTACCTCGTACTCATAGGGCCACCATTCACTCTAACTCTGCCACTGTACACACGTACTATCAAGGTTTATGAACTACCACTTGCACTATTGCATGCATTATGTTTACTCAGTGGCTATCCCCCCATCTCATCCTCCAAAAGAACGCATCCTTTCTACCTTCTGTACTTTCTACTCACTCACTGGGGAAACCTCACTACCTATCCTGTTTCTGCATCACCACTAACTGCTTTTCTATCCACTATCATCATACACAGTCCATCTTTTTGTCTCATTGAAGGAAAAACTAGTCAACTCACTGGATTGATATCTCCACAGCACAATGACTGACATACCTGTAATACCCAGACTAATTTCAATTGATTTGCATGACTGGTTATGGCCCAAATCCTGGACTGCACCTGGTAGGACCAGGTGCCACACTAACCATGGTCAGAGCTTGAATGGGACAATCCTCTTGACTGATTGTGACAGTACCCCTGACTGGCTGAAGTTCCTGTAGACCCCATTAAGGACTGATCTCCTCTGATTTTCACACATAACCATTTGGTTGAAGTACATGCAGTATGTTTGCTGTGTAAGCTGTTAGCATATGCTGTAGATGTGATATTTACAAGGGAAGTGCCATGCAGCAGCAATATGTCCATTTCTTTGACTGTTCAATCCTCCAAACCATTACAAGCTGTCTGACTCGACCTGTACACTAAAAAGTAATACAAGCCAAAGACTTGTAGCTTTCAAATAAATGGTATGTGATTAAGTCCTAAGGAATGAAGCAAAGAGCTATAAGGTCCATCCTGTGTCACTGCATGAGATACACGCATTCCTGCTTACAAAATTATCCTGCAGAAACATGTAAATTGTAAATGCCCCGAGATCTAATTTGAAGTTCTTGGGCCGTATTGGCCCAAGAGCTCATCAGATGTGATGAGCCTGGTGATTTGCCCATGCTATCTTGTTAGATGCAGGGTGGAAGAGGACAGTATCTATGGAGCATGAAGGGATGTTGTAATGAAGACAGACTTACGTGAAGGTCAGAGGAAGCAACTAGCAGACTGCTGCCAGCTGCTCACCATGCTGACTATTACACTGGGGATTGAACTTTAGGGGAAGCAGAAAAGAATTTGAAGCTGCATCGAAATAAGGCTGGTTGGGCTTATAATGGGACATGAATATATGGTAGTAAGATTGATATTATTAGCAAGATTCTGAACTAGCCATTTAAAGCTTAAGGGAAAATTGGAATTTCTCTTCTCAAAGTCAAGATTTTGACTTTTTTTTCATTTCTTATCATGAGTTTCAAGAGAACAGAAAATTCTGCCCATACATCGAGAAATAAGCTGATCCTTCTGTTGGTTTCAAAGTTTAATTCATAGAACAAAAACTCATCCCATTATAAACACCACTCTTTGAGAACTCAACATTGTAGGACAGGGTATGGGCGAGGTCATAGTCTCAGAGTCATAGA